ATGTGAGATCGATGAATAAATAGTCAAAGGGAACATTTTATTGTATGGTCTCGTTTTTAGCCATATATCTGATAATTTAGTTTCCTCAAAGTATGCCTTCTCATTCGATGTATAATATCTATTCAAATCAGCGTGTATAAACAAACATATAAGTTCAACATACTTACTTGCTTACTAACGCCTGGTACTCCCAACGGAGCATAGGCCACTGGCCAGTATTCTCCAACCAACTCTATCCTCGGTTTCCCTTTCCAGTTCTTTCCTGTTTTTGTTCATTCTTCTCATATCTTTCTCTATTTCTCGGCGTAATGTGTTCCTCGGAACATCCTCTTTTTCTGTGACCTTGAAGGTTCCGAGTGAGGGATTGTCTTAAGACCGCTTCTTCCTGATTTTCAACTCCGCTGGAATCTGGTTTGTTCTCTCCTACAATAAGTTGTTTCTGATGGTGTCTAGCCAATGAGTCCGAAGTATTTTGCGTAGACAACTGTTAATAAATACTTGTGTGTTCCTCATGATGGCGTTGGTAGTTCTCTAAATTTTCACTCCATACAGTAGAACTGTCTTGATATTTGTATTGAAAATCCTGATTTAGGTGTTGATTGATAGTTGTTTAGAATTTCAGATGTTCAATTGTAGAAACGCAGCCCTTGCTTTGCCGATTTGCGCCCTCACAACTACATCGGATCCACCTTGGTTGTCGATGATGCTGCCAAGATGTGTAAAGGTTTTGACGTCCTCCAAGACATCTTCATCAAATGTGAGTTGGTTGACGCATGTTGTGTTGTATCGGAGAATCTTGCTTTCCTCTTTATGTATGTTGAGGCCTGCTGCTGCACAGGCTGCTGCAGAAATCCATTCCGTGTGATGGTACTTCCTGTGGCTCAGAACCTCCTGACATGTTGAAGTGATTGCTTCCTTGATCCCTTTCCTCTCTACTTAGTAGATCGTGCAAGGCTGGAACATATTGCTGAGGACTATCTTGAATTCGTTGAGTTTCACGGTATCCCGAAGAAAGGCCGTATTAAAATTCTGTGTTGTTGTCTACCCCGTTGTCTAGTGCTTCTTGAATTTCAGTTTCACAGGTTTGCAAATTTCTCACCGTTTTTGATTCCTTTCTCCCAGTTCATGTCGTCCCATGATGTATTCATATCCAGTGTTGTCTATGCCAACTCCTCAGAATCCTCAAATCCTTCGGTGAGCATCTGTTCACAATTAATTGCAGCCCCTTGCAGAATTGATCTTACACGTTGTCATTGTAGTCATTGGCAGGTGTAATGTCCACTTTTTTTGTTTTGTATGATGCTTTGATGATTCTAGGTCCATGACATTCCCAACGTATTAGTGCCTTTTGTGCATGTTTGAACAGCATCAGTGCAACTTCTTGTGTATGTGAAGCATTTTCCATTTCATGACCAGAGTCTTACAGCATATATATATATATATATATATATATATAAAATAATGGAAGAAGTCGTCTACCAAATCGAAATCTTTTGTGGTGATGTTTCGTTCTCTGAGCTGGGTGTTTTGGTTGTGGAACTTTGATTGTTCAACAGCAGGATCAAGGTTAGCAGAACAAGCTACAGGTCAAACGTAGAGAAATTCGAATGCTTCACTTCTAGATCTGAAATTTATGCTGATGATGATGTTGATGATGTTGTTCAGTAGAAGAACAATGAAAGCTCCACAACCAAAACAACATCCAGCTCAGAGAACGAAACACCACCACCACAATTATCCACTTGAGCTACAAATTTTCTCCATCATCTCATCGAATCTTCTAGTCACAATCAAGCTGTCCAGTTGCAATTCTATGCCTCACTTGCAATTCAAAAGTCGTTTTCATTTTCATTCATATATTCAAAGAGTTAATATGTATACACACTAACATATATATATATATATTTTGGGGGACACAGTTTTGGAGGTTTGCGATTTTACACATTTGAAATCATCAATCAATCATCGTTAGACCACCATTAGAAACCTGGAAGCACTGGACAATGTCCGTTTCGTCCTGGTATGGGACTCATCAACAGACATTAACACCGTTGGATGCCGGCCCAGTGGTCCGATTGTAAGGCGTTCGCCTACAATGCCAAAGGTCCCGGGTTCGAATCCCGCGAGGAGCAGGAGTCGTGGATGTGCACTGCTGATGAGTCCCATATTAGGACGAAACGGCCATTGTCCAGTGATTCCAGGTTTCTAATGGTGGTCTAACAATGATTGGTTGATGATTTCAAATATATATATATATATATATATATATATATATATATATATAGTATCAGACAGAATTAGTAATAGCCTAACTAGCGTTTCATTGAAATTAGACGTCTACTTCATGTATATCTATGTATAAATACATATATACATAGTGATATTCGAATATTCAATTTTCAAGATTGACATGTTGTTTAACTGATGTGTTTTACCAAAGTGTTTGCATTCACTCTGTTCAATTATAATTATTATTACTATCATGAATTATTGTTTAGGCATCAGTTAACTACTCAATAAGAAGCCTTAATATAATAACAATACGGGTAATAAATAAAATATTTTTTTCTATACTTAAAAACCTATTTATTCATTGTGTCACAAGTTAAATGTAGTATATACAGATGTATATGTCAATTATCCTTGTGTCTATATATATATATTCATTGTTTATTGAGTCTAGGTGTGAATTTAATAGGAAAGGTGATTGATATGTAAGACGTATATGCGTATATATATATTATATACTATTATTGTTCATGATAGACAGAATGGTATATATGTCTGATATTTTCTTATCATTTTTCAATAATAAACATTCTCTGTGAAGTTTTTATATGTATACGCCAATTTTATATAATGTGGATTCATATGTTGACTTACTTACATTTGACGATTCAATATACTTAATCATTTCATTAGGCTATGACATACTTACCTACGTACATATGTTACCCCCCAATGGAGCATAGTCCGCTGACCGGGGCACTCTACAACCTACTCTCTCCTGGACCTTCTTTATTAGTTCTGTTCGATTGTTATTCATTCTTCTCACGTCTGTCTCCATCTATTTCTTGGTGTAATGTGTTCATTGGCCTTCCTCTTTTCCTTTGACAGTGAGAATTTCAAGTGTGGACTTGTCTTTGACGTAGTTTGGCTCTTTTTCGCAGTGCGTGTGTGCGTCTTATACACTTCCACAGTCTCTTCCTTGATTGTTCTTCCTTGGATTGGTCTAGCTTATAGTAGGTTTTTGTTGATGGTGTCTAGTCAACGAAGTATTTTGCGTAGACAACTGTTAATAAATATTTGTATCCTCAGGAAGTCTACTGCACCATACAGTAAAAACTGTCTTGATATTTGTATTGAAAATTCTGAGTTATATGTTGGTTGATAATTCTTTTGAGTTCCAAAGTTGTAGACATGCTGCTCTTACTCTGTCGATCCGCGCCTTCATATCTGCATCAGATCCATTGTGCTCATCAGTGATACTGCCCAGACCTGTAAAGGTATTTACATCTTGCAAAGCTTTACAATCAAATGCGATTCGCTTGTTGCTTGTTGTAGTTGCATATATCAGAGTATCTTACTTTTCGCCTTGTTTTATGTTGAGACCTAAGGCTGCTACACTGGTTATCTTCGCTTTCGTATATTGTTGCATGTACGATAGAAGAGCTGGATCATCTGCCCAGTCTAAATCGTTCCGCTGCATACTGTCTGCTTCACCCCAAATGTTGACATCTTCATAATTCAGTCAGTCACCAGTTGGAATAGGTATTGTATACTTTTTATTCGTACATTGTCAATTCAAATCCCGTAGTAGTAGAGGTAGTAAAAGTGTTAGACGTAATCGGAGAGATTAAGGTTCGAAGATGTTATTCAAGAAGTATGATTCAGTGAGGTAAATTTGGAAAGAGAAAAATAGTGGTGATGAGGAATTAGGAAGGTTAGAATTTTGTAGAACACAAAGAGTAAATGCACCTGCGCCATTGCAAACGGTTCTTAGCCATGTCATTTAGGGTCTCTAACCATTGATTACTATCATTTCGCGAATCCCAACCACATAGTCGATTCTTACCAACATGAATCAGTCCACTTGTCAATGACTTCATGGATTTCTGCCATGTTTTGGTCTGGCCGCCCTAGCTTTCGTCTAACCTTTTCCTACACCGCAAAATGTAGCTCGATGAGGCAGTCGGTGGTTAGGCATACGCAACAAATGTCTCAACCACCTCAAATGATGAAGTTTCATTACTTCATCTATTGACCTGCCATCCTTACCTAGCACCCGTTTTCTAACAACAGCATTGCTTACTCGGATGTCCAGGATACCCGAGCAATGCTTCTAAGACTTCTATGATTGTGAAAAAAGTAGCCTACCAATATCTTCAGCTCTCACTGGCCATGTTTCACAGCCATAAACTAAGACGGATCGAACTACTGCACAGTACACTCGTCATTTGGTTAGCAAATGGATATCTCGCCTACGCCATAAGTGACTCAGGTTGGCAAAAGCTAATTGAGCTTTCTGTATCCGTGCTGAGATTTCGTTAGTCACCAGGCCATTGGCACTGATAAGACCCCCCAGATAAGTGAAACTGTCGACACGCCCAACTACTTCACTCCCTATCACTATTCTTAACATCCTTCTGTTTTTCTTAAATACAAATAATCATAACAAATCATTGAATTTTTATTGTAATATTTAGTTGAATTCCATTGAAATGCTCCTCCTCTTGTCTTAATCTATTCAGTAATATGTGTGATTCTTGATGTTTTTTTTGCCCAATCGATATAGACAACTACACAAAGTCTACTCACTACACTTAAATTTATGCATAAACTGACTTAATGATCAATGGTTTTCTGTTATTCAGAATTAATAATATTACGTGTATCTAAAATAGTGGATCGCATTGTATAAATTAAGTATACAATAATTACATTGTACCCTAATCTCATATTATCGTGATGATGATGATGATCATTTTTCATTATTTCAGGTACATCGGATGATTATGAAACTTGGATACCACATTCCTCGGATGAAGGCGGTAAAGATGGTTGTCTACTTGGTGTACGTGAACAATATAAACGGTTAAAAAAAGATTCACTGTAAGTAAGATTATTTTGTTTAAAAGTGTTGAATTTCACTAATAACAATGATTAATGCCAAATCTTTTTATGTTTTAAAATGTCACATTGTTTAAATGAAATGCGAAAATTTAATAAACATATTTGTTGAAATGATGAATCGATTACTGTTAGACCACTATGAGAAACCTTTAAGTACTGGATAGCTGTTTCGTCCTGGTGTGGCATTCGTCAGCACTGCTCATTGCTGACTAGCATCATGAGTAAATTCTCGGAGTTCTAGTGAGAAATCATGAACAGTAGAGTTTAATCGTGTCAGATATGATGTACTTTCCTTTCTAAGACAATGAGTAAGATCTCACTATATCCGTGGATTCTATAAATGGTATATTTTGTGCTATGTTTGTGTCACTTTGTAAGTGTCTAAGTGAAGTAAAAAAAGTCAAAAACGCAAACCTCCAAAACTGTGCCCCAAAATATCTCTATAATAATACTATAATACAAAATAATAATTTATCATTTTTATTACTAAAGTCTAATTTTTCAAAAAAATTTTTTTCTAACATTTTATACATAATAATTGTAATAGTATACACCACCAGTTATATGCATATGTCGTATATCGTAATATATATAATTTAAATAAATACGATGCACTTTTTTGTGTTTTTGTTAAATAATAATTGACTGTTGAACATACTACACATTGAAACTTGAACAAAAACGAATTTTATTTTCATGTAAACTATTATTCAGTATGAAAATGATCGTGTGAGAAATAAATCATCACTGTATAGTGGACACATGCATTCATCTTAATGTTAATTGTAATATTTTTTTTTAAAAAAAACTTTTCCTACAATAATTAAGTAGTATAGATGTGTTTGTGAGAAATGATGTAAAAAAAAATAAACAGTAGTAGAATATTTATTTTCGATGAAAAAATAAAATATATATATATGTATATTAACTTGATTATGGCTAATTAGTGAATTAGATTTAAGTTGAATGAAACAGAATTAACTTGTATGTTATTGAATTCAATTTTGAAATGATACAGATTTTCAATGGTTGATAATTTGATTGAAAATTGATCAATCTTGGTCGATGTGCTTGTTGTTGTACAAGTAATGGGGTATTTTGAATTTTGTGTTTCACTTAGTCAGTTACAACGCAGTATTTCGTACGTATGTACGTATCAGTTCAATTTGTGATGTCATATTAGTACAGAAAGATGGGAATAGTCAATTCAATTCAATTCCATACTGGTGCAGATGTAGTAGAAATATTCGTGGTACTGGTAAAGATTAGGTTTCAAAGTAAATAATGTTCAACAGATATAATCCAGCCAGAAAATTAAATTCAAAAAGAGATAAGTACAGGTCCCCGACCGAAGCTGCTACCTTGACGTAGTGATCGGGCTTGCCTAGCGTGATGACCCAACCGAGCTATATTTGTTGGCTGAAATATGTGTTCCTGTAGGCTCTACCACGCCAGGCAGCAGTCGATTGGAGGACTGATGAGACTAAAAGCAGCTACCCAAGGTCTGAGGTTGGAGTCATACTGCCCGACTGCAGAGGGTGTGACAGCAGAAAGCGTTTCCCTCGGACAACCAGCATCTGCAGTGATGCTGCCTTCTGACAAGGAAGAAGGGTTAGAAAAGATCGACCCTAGAAATGTCACACCTCACCTAGTTGCACGGATTTCCGTCGCCGACGGTAAGGGTGCCCACTAAGGGCTTTCAAGAGCGGAGCTAATACTCAAAAAACCCTTCATAAAAAGGCCGTGCGTGACCGGCCTCAAGCAGTTGTCTCTTGGGCTCTGCGGTCACGCTCGCAGGTCGTTCAGACCAACGCTAATCTACCTTCTTTTTCAGGTTCCTCAAGAAACAACCTTCCAGGGTGTGGGCAGCGGGAAGTGACAACCGCCCTCATACCCGCAACAGTACACGAGACCAAATTCGTCAGAACCAAATCCTTCCTGACTGAAGTACAGGTCCTGAGCTTGTGAGGACATGAGAGTAGACTAAAAATGGCATTTTCAATCCCAAAACGCAAATAATATCCAACTAGTGTTAAGTCTCAAATAGAATGAAACGCCCTTCTTGGATCCAACTGCTAGTCACATTATTTACAATCTGAATAGACGACTTCTTTGATTTACTCAGGGCTTGATAACTGCATTAAAACTCACTAGCCCTACCTAAGTTGTGATTTAAACTTTAAAAATAGATAGATTGTGATATTATAACTGGTTACCGTGACCAGAAATGATTCAGTGCCAAAAACAGGATAAACACTGTTCAATGATGAAAATGTTGAGCACAAACATTCTACTAAGTGTACCAATATGTTGAGCCCATATTATCTTGTCTTAACTTTTGGAAAAATGAATTAACCTTTTCTGCTTAAATTAATAACTTGTCGGCGGCCTACACTCCATTGGGGGTAACAGGCGTAAGTAAGTAAGCCCGAATTAATAGTCACTCTTCTGTCAACCTTATCTGTTATTCACTCATATCCTTGGTTGTTTTTATTTGGGTGTGTGTGTCTGTGTGTGAGTATGTGCATGCTGATTTCGCTTATCACATATTTATCCCCTATTTTTATCCGACTATAAATCGTTAGTCATGCCTCATCGGATGGAGTTGGCTCACTCGCCTTCTTCACTTGACTTAACTAGTACGCTTTGTGTTTTTGTGCCTGTCTGCGTTAACGGATTGCATGAACTAAACTCATTCAACTGAATCTAAATTGGTCTCTTATTATCATCACCATCGCAAAATCGGAATTCATCCCGACACGATATATAGAAATTGAAGAGAAGATTTATTTCATAGATTTTACCCAATCATTCGTATAGATTGGAATCAGAACGTTCTATTTATGCTAATGAAGATGATTTATTTTTTTTACTGATTGACATAATTCAGTGATTCTTTAAGAAATACAGTGTTGCGCGACATTGATGTGACAAATAAGCCATTATATAGTCCATTGAAGTCATGAAGTAATCATTGTTAGAAATCTGGAAGCAATGGACGGTTGGTTGCGCAATAGTTTGAAATGATTTAAATTATACTTGTACACCGCTGGATCTAAGCTTGGTAGTCTACGCCTTCGAATTTCTCCGTACGGTGGAGAGCGGAGAAAGTCCACTCTCCCTCTCTCTAAAAATGCCCTCACATGGCCACACGTATAGAGCCACTGCCAGGGAAGTCCTAATCACCAGCTTCTCCCATAAAGGTAGTTGGTAATGAATTTAAAAGGACGAAAAGCAGATGTCCTGCTGGAGCTTTATCATGGTCGGTGGGCGCAGATGATCCACCTTTGGTAGTTGGAAAACACAACCAATGAGGCATATTGTTCTTAAGGATCCTTAGGGGAGAAACTAAATTCGGTCGCTAGTTACAAATGAAACTTCGTCGTTTAAAGTTATTTCAGCGCCTTTTAGATTTGACATTATAGCTAAAAGCTCAAGAAACTCTGGTTCGGCTAGCTCATCCGTACAGTATCCTAGCATATTCACAAATTCAATGAGTGGCGCATATATATGTTGATGCCACCTTGTGCCAATCTTTATGTGTTTGAATAAACAAACAAATCAATAACAGTGGTTTAAAAGCTGGACATTTTTGTCCAAGACTGAAAGTCAGTTCAGTTCAGTTGCTAGAGTTGATGTCATGGATGCACTCAGCCATCCCAGTTTCCACTGATCATCTAACTCAATAGTTAATCTCAATAAAATCATACTTATTGAACTATTCAGAAAAGTTTAAATGCACTTCATTGTGGGAAGTTGTTCACCAATAATGATACCATTTACCAAATCTCTAAATCTTTAAAAAGTAATGGCAAGCAATAAGGTGAAATTAGTTTACAGATAACTTTATATCAAAATGTATTCAATGAATAAATGCCAGGAAAATATTTCTTTATGAATGCTAGGTTCGTCTCTAGGTATGCTTAACACTATTACAGGTTCGTTCACCTTAGTCGATAAACGCTAACGAGACGATGAACCAGCGTCCAGGTAGGCTACTGTGATCCGATGACTAACGAGAAGTCTTGATATAGCGTAGAAAGTATATTCTACGAACACCCAGCAAGCATAATGCAATCAAGCGCACAAATCTCGTTTACTTATATATCACAGAAACATCCTTGGGACAGTCACAAAAATAGCACACTAAAATATACAGCAACCAATCACGGTCAAAGATTTTCCTAGCGGGAAATGAAATGCCAAGGTCAACCGATCAGCCCATGCTCGGAAACATAAAATCCAAAATTAAAGCATTTATCAAGCGTGTTCTGGGGACCTAACGTCCCCAACACTCTTCCCCTTTTTAATAGCGTGCGCTCATGGGGTCGACTTGTATCTTGACTATCGTTCACCGCTGTCTGAGAGGATACCTTCTGGGACAGAGAACAGCCTGCTGCTGAGCTTCTTCTTGTGCTGGGGCTGCTGTTAGGTTGATCGTATCAAGCAGGATGTCCAGCGGAAGATTTTCTGCTTTTAATGGGCTATCTGAGGCTAGCCGTTTGTGTATCTGGTTTCAAATATCATTTGAAAAAAGTCAAAGATTACTAAACAACTGTTTCATCCTGGTATAGACACTCAGCATCAGTGTATACCACTAGACTTCATCGATAACTGAATTCAGAATGTGTAGAGGTCTTGTGAAGACAGACCTATTGGACTAGTGTTCAAATTTAAAATGAATCCCCAAAACATTAACTTTTTTTTCAAGCATTTTTATTCATTTAAACAAGTTGAAAGAAAAAAAACAACAACAACAACGGGAAAAAAATTTGGAAGAGAAAATAAGACTTTTAAACTAATCGATGCCTAGATCCATAATTTTCACTGTTTATTTTGTCTCCTTTCATATTCCTCTCTCTCTCTCTCTCTCTCTCTCTGACTCTGACTCTCTCTGACTCTCTCATCCTGTTTGCCTGTCATACACAGTACTAATACACACCCATTAAAAAAAAAATAGTTTGATACAAATAATACTC